GAAAAGTTACTGAGCATATTAAAACCAAATTCTATGGTTTATTTTAATTTTGAGATTCCATAGTTTTCGTTCACAAATATGGTCCTTTTTCCTTTGAAAATGAGGTTTCATGGCTAGGGTGTGGGAAATATGCTAGATGTAGTTAAATCTCTTTATAGAAAACTTGGTTTCTGTTCTTCATATGACTAGATCAAAATTCAAATATCACTTGGTGAAATCAGCCCATAGAGCATGGGAAATATTAGAATATAAATGATAACACTTTAGGTGGCTCTAGTCACTTTTTTGATGATATTTGTAGATGAATTCCACATTCTAAGAAACAGTTGGAGCCTTGTGAAAGTTCGTGGGAATATTTAACCCTTATACTCCTCAGCTATTAATAGCCGTCAACACTGCTGTGTTGACGGCTATTAATAGCTACCTGCTACCTTTTGAAAAGGAGTTTAGAGGCTGGGGACATGAAAAATGAGTTCGAATTTGTTGAATTTTTTTTGCAGAAGTCTTCTGCTGGTAATTGTCTATTAAATTATAGGTTAAAATTAAAATATTGCTAACTGAAATTAGCCCATAGGGCATGGGGAAATGCATCATGGAGGAATTTCTAGCTGCAAGAAATTGGGTTTGGTCCCATACAGTTCAGTGAATCAAGGTTGTACTGTACCACAAAAGAAAAGGCCAACCCAAATTCCCCCGGAACACCAAAATCTTTCACCCGTCACACTAAACATATTACCTTTTCAAAACAAAATTTTCCGTCACACCAAAATTTTCTCCTGCCACACCAAAATTAAAAATCTACTTTTATTTGTAAACAACTTCCTCCTACAATCATTGACCAAAATATTTACTTCAATGATAAAAAATATATCCTAAGGATTTCAAGTTACACACTATCTGAAGTAGATTAGTAAAGTTTAACAGTAAAGCTTGCCAACAGTTAAAGTGGTATACAGCACCTGATAAACATTGACAGATTCTCCTTTGTAGCAATACATGCGCACAAGAGTAACATCCTCTTTGCCGGGAATGAGCTTGGACAAATCTTCCGATGTAAGAGATGGGTATGCCTGTGATAATTCAGCTCGCAGTTTTTTCCTGGAAAATAACATGGAAGTGTGTGTTATGCTGTAACTTTTTACTATTATGTAAAATAAAATATGATTAGATTAACACAAATGAATATTCATCAATTTGCAAACCTACATCACATGTAAGGAATTTTCACATGCCCCCTGTATTTTTACTATCAATAGCTACACAGCAGCTATTCCATTACAGCAGAAACTCTCAGCCATAAGGAACAGTGCCCAGTATAGGTCTATGGGGCATATCCATTTGCATCATAAGGATTTATGGTGACAGCTAAGGTTTTGAGCTCCTGTCACTTCTTCTCCAACCTGCTGATCATCTAGATTAACCTAATATAATACTGCATATTCTAATGTAACTAATCCAAACCTACCGTGTTCTAACTAAAACAGACCTTGCCTACTTTATCACATAAATAACCTTAAAAAGCATGGGTTAATAGTACATTACACATTTTAAGGACAAGATTTTTATTGCAATTGTATATTTTTTATAGGTTCAATGAATTTTAAATATTCCTTATCAAGTTCTGCAAGTAAATCAGTCATCATTGGGAGGGATCTTTGACAAGCCACCGGCTTCCTGTCCTCATCAAGACCACCAGTGGTAGTGGCCTTCAGGTAAATCAGGTACAGTACATTAAGAACCTGATAAAGGTCTTGATGCTGAAGGGAATTATCAGGGGAAGGCACCAAGCCATTACAACTATATAGCACTAGGAAGGGATCAGGATAAGGATTAGGGATGGTATGGGAGAAGGATTGGTGCCCAACCACTTGGACGGTCGGTGATTAAATGTCGACCTGCATGACGTGAGACCGTAGCTCTGCTTGGAGAGGCCCGCAGGCCCACATACCCACCACAGCCCGGTTGGTCCGGCACTCCTTGGAGGAATAAATCTAGTTTCCTCTTGAAAATGTCCACGGTTGTTCCGGCAATATTTCTTATGCTTGCTGGGAGGACGTTGAACAACCGCGGACCTCTGATGTTTATACAGTGTTCTCTGATTGTGCCTATGGCACCTCTGCTCTTCATTGGTTCTATTCTACATTTTCTTCCATGTCGTTCACTCCAGTACGTTGTTATTTTACTGTGTAGATTTGGTACTTGGCCCTCCAGTATCTTCCAGGTGTATATTATTTGATATCTCTCTCGTCTTCTTTCTAGTGAGTACATTTGGAGGGCTTTGAGACGATCCCAATAATTTAGGTGCTTTATTGCGTCTATGCGTGCCGTATATGTTCTCTGTATTCCCTCTATTTCAGCAATCTCTCCTGCTTTGAAGGGGGAAGTGAGTACTGAGCAGTACTCAAGCCGGGACAACACAAGTGCCTTGAAGAGTACAACCATTGTGATGGGATCCCTGTATTTGAAAGTTCTCGTAATCCATCCTATCATTTTTCTGGCTGTCGCAATATTTGCTTGGTTATGCTCCTTAAACGTTAGGTCGTCCGACATTATTATTCCCAAATCCTTTACATGCTGTTTTCCTACTATGGGTACATTTGATTGTGTTTTGTACTCTGTATTATGTTTAAGGTCCTCATTTTTACCGTACCTGAGTACCTGGAATTTATCACTGTTAAACATCATGTTATTTTCTGATGCCCAGTCGAAAACTTTATTAATATCAGCTTGAAGTTTTTCAATGTCCTCAGCCGAGGTAATTTTCATACTGATTTTTGTGTCATCTGCAAAGGATGATACGAAGCTGTGACTTGTATTTTTGTCTATATCTGATATGAGAATAAGGAAAAGCAGTGGTGCAAGGACTGTACCCTGAGGTACAGAGCTTTTCACTGCACTTGGACTAGATTTTATATGGTTGACAGTTACTCGCTGAGTCCTGTTTGACAGAAAACTGAGTATCCAGCGTCCTACTTTACCGGTTATTCCCATTGACTTCATTTTGTGTGCTATCACGCCATGGTCACATTTATCGAAGGCCTTTGCGAAGTCCGTGTATATCACATCAGCATTCTGTTTCTCTTCTAATGCCTCAGTGACTTTGTCGTAGTGCTCAAGTAGCTGTGAGAGGCACGATCTTCCCGCTCGAAATCCATGTTGGCCTGGGTTATGAAGGTCATTGGTCTCCATGAAATTGGTGACCTGACTCCTAATCACTCTCTCAAATACTTTTATGATGTGCGATGTTAGTGCAACTGGTCTATAATTTTTTGCCAATGCTTTGCTCCCTCCCTTGTGTAGAGGGGCTATGTCTGCTACTTTAAGTGCATCTGGTATCTCCCCCGTGTCCAAGCTCTTCCTCCACACTAGACTGAGTGCCTGTGCTACCGGCACTTTGCATTTCTTTATAAATATTGAATTCCATGAGTCTGGACCTGGGGCCGAGTGCATGGGCATGTTTTCAATTTCTTTTTCAAAATTTTGTGCGCTCGTGTTTATATCAGTTATATTTACCGGGGTTTGAATATCCCGCATAAAGAAAATGTCTGGATCTTCCACCTTCATGTTGTTTATTGGAGTGCTAAACATGTCCTCATACTGCTTTTTTAGGATTTCACTAATTTCTTTGTCATCCTCCGTGTATGAACCTTCACTTGTACGAATAGGTCCAATACTGGCAGTGGTTTTTGCTTTTGATTTCGCATATGAGAAGAAATATTTTGGATTTTTCTTTATTTCCTGAATTGCTTTCTGTTCTAACTGCCTTTCTTCAGTTTCATATGAGTGTTTCAATTTCCGCTCGATTTCTTCAATCTCCCTATTTAAATTATTCCTTCTTTGACGGGAATTCGTGTCTGCATAAGCAGTTCCGTTATTTTTTTCCTGCGTTTATAGTGTCGTCTGCGTTCTCTTTCTACGTTACCATCCAGCCCAAGTGGTTGGGGTCTTGATGCTAAAGCAATGCAAAATAAAAATACCTAGATCCTTTAGACAGAAGCACGTCTCAGAGCTCAGCACTCCAAATGCAGAGGACAATTTCAGGATTGGCTAATTCAGAATTTGGAAACTTTCAGCCTGGAAATGTCCTAAGCAATATGTCAGCATAGAAGAGTTGGAAATTGAAGATATGCTGATCATGTTTAACTCAGAGAGGGCATACAATTTTTTTTTAGGCAAGAAGTATTAAATAACAGAATATCAAACTATGCGTATTACATAAAACAATTTTGGTTTTCAATTGCTTCACCTATGTGGATATGTGACAAAATATTAAATGCTACAATTTTGCAAAAAATAAATCTTACCTATCTGAACCCTTTAACTGTGTTTGTGACTTGATTCTGAAGGGCTTAACGAACATCTGTAAAAGGGAAATCATATTATAAAATATCCATAAAACTTATTAATGCATTCTATTTTCAAGTAACTATTTCCAAACTTCCTAAATGTAGAATATCTAATATCTCTCACAAGTCAAGCCACGTCCCTGGTGGGTTCTTGGGGAGTAGAACTCCCAGAACCCCATCCATGTACAGAACATTTTTTTTTTTTTTTTTTTTTTTTTTTTTTTTTTTTTTTTTTTTTTACTTTTTACCTTGCACCTATCTATAGTGTACAGTACTTGCTATGCTTTACTGGTAGGCCTAAATAAACTAAAAAGCAAAAATAAAGATTCTTATGTTACAATAATAATGCGAAAGATGGAATAACCATCCCAAAATTCACCCTATTTCCAGCTTGTTCCTTGTAGCCAGGAGTGCTTTTCTGGACAAGTTAGATTCCATTATATTTGGCTACTCTAAGTTAGATTAGGTTGGTTACTTTAAGGTAAGAGCAAGTTCAAAATAAGATGCCATACTGTATTATGATCCCTCAGCCACTCGGTAAATGAGCACCAAGTAACATGTCATTCCTAGAGTAATTTTGTAAAATGTAAGTTGATGATACTGATCAGGAAATATGTTTTTTCTATGTTCACTGCTGTGCTATTTTGATAGATTCACGGATCACAATGCTGTTTAAATAGAACAATGAGGTAATGCACTCTTTGCATTAGAGGTGTACAGTACTAATACCATCAGTCTGATACTTTAATACCGACACTCTGGTACACCTCCGGTTTGGACAGGCTGAAAGAGCACGGCGCTGGTTTGAATACACTTGGGAGATTGAACTCCAATATTTGGATAGACCAAGTCTAGGGTAGGATACTACCCTAGTCTTGGGTACTATACACTGTTTAGATAAAAGAAAATGCATGATAAAATCTATGACTATATCTGAACACTTGGCACAAGAAAATAACAAAACACTGAGAAAAAGGTCAAAAACCTAAGTATATCTCAGTTGTTTCATGAAGTGATGGCAGCCTTTAAGCTTTGCTACTAGTGGAAATAAATGCCTGGTCTTACCTAACCCAATCAACATAACTCAAGCTGTCTTTGCCTGGCTTAGCCTACCCTAACCTTACCCTACCTAGACTAGCCTAGTAGGCCTACTGTAATGTGAATCAGCCCTGACAAAAATGTAAAGAAAGTTGGCAATGAATATTCACCAATTGGTTATCATATAATAGTACAAAAATATAATTATGGGTACTGGCGTTAATTACAAAATTTGTCATTTTGCAGAACGTTTGGGCGTATCTAGGAATCGAAGCCAAGAATAATCACTTGTGCCGCAACTGTTACAACCACAGCACTTACGGCCACTCCCACACGTGAATACAAAAGCTTACTAGTTAGTATATACCAATTTCCTGCGTTATATCACTGCAATTCAAAGCTTTCTACAACTTTGTTGTAGAAAGTTTGCAAGTTTGCCCGAAACGCTATGCGTACTAGTGGCTTTAGGTATTATATGTACTACCTCTATCTTTAAATCTAACAGTATGTTTGTACTGTAACTCTGCAAGTATGTATGTACTTTTCCTAAATAAATTATTATTATTATTATTATCACTTGTTGCAGCAGCAGCTCTGGTGGCACCGGGGCAGCCAGAGCGTGTGCCACATATGAGCCCCACCACCACCAGATAATACACAGCTACTACCAGCAACTCTTTATCACATCGTCAGCTAAGAAATGTGTTTAATCTTAACAAGTAAACCTCTTTCCAACATCAACCTTGGCTGACTTGAGAGCCCGGCAACACACACGAACACCAACACAAGTTCCAGCTGTTTTGATCACTTGTTATCTAACACAGTTTGCATACTTTGAATCAATTTAAACAAAAATATTATTTTCATTTACTATTTAAATAAATATATATTTACATTATATATTATTTATATTTATTTTTATGCAATATTTCACATATTATGAAAGCTACTGTGACTAACACAGAAGTCACAATAACGCCTCTCAAGTTCGTTCATATGAGATCGTACTGTGTATTCTTCAGATGTAAAACTAACAAATGTCGTTTTCATGAAATCTTATTACTTGACAAATTGCATATTCAGCATGATATGAAGAGCGACAAGGTAAATATGCATAAATTGCCTCCGTGTTGTTTGACTACATAAAAGCGCACCAATGAACAAACTGTGGCGAGTAGAGAAACACTACATGGGTTAAAGCTTTATATATTTATTTATTTTAATATTTGCTTGAAAGTACAATGGATTATTTTTGATCAGTTGTGGTGTGCAAATGGCACATTATCGCACAGTCACTAAAATGCCAAGCGTTTCAGGCAAATCTTTAAGGGACCTTTATATGCCGTAATTAATTTGGAAGTTAACTTTTTTATTATTATAAAAAATAAAAATAAAATAAAATAAAATGTTTATTTAGGTAAGGTACACAAATACAATAAATTTTTACAAAGATTGGTTGACTTATAGGTAGAGCTAGTACATACAATGCCTAAAGCCACTATTACGCAAAGCGTTTCGGGCATTATTAATAAACTTAGGTATACACAGCAATGTGCTGCTACCCTATTCTATATGAAAGATTACACAGCGTAGATAAAAAAAATAGCTATAAGTTCATCTAATATTCCCATATCGCAGGATGGGTAATCATTCATGGAATCATTGGAGAAAATACCTGCCTCAATCCAAAAATAAATTAACTTTGACTATAATAATAACTTTACGATTTTCATAAGAGCTAAGCACTGAATCGTGGAAATATTATATTATAATTATTTTTACCAGTTTATAAAAGATTCTTCTCAAATAATGTCTTTTTTTAACAAGCTTAGATATACACAGCAATGTATGCAAATACACAGCTACCCTATTCTGTATGAAAGACCACACAGTGTAGATAAAAAACCAGCTATAAGTTCATCCAACATCCTCACCTCACAGGACGGTCAGTCATACGTGGAATCAGGAGAGAACATGAAATGTAAGACTGATTAGCCTCCACTAGCAAAATTTTTGAAAAACACAAGAATATCTTCCAATATTCCGGAGTGTATGAAGTAATTACAGAGCTCAAAATACCTCATACCATTTGGCCTTAAGTCACTGATAACAAGGCAATCACAGATATGGTGTTGGAATGTCCCAGCTCTTGTTCACATAGTTTACAATTGGAATGTTCATCATTTGGGGCATTCATTACCTGCAGCCACCTGCCATAGATATTGATATCCCAGCCTAATTCTGGTAATTACCGTGTCACACTGTCTAGTGGATGTTTTATGCTGCCCACACATATAGTTCTCCGTTCTAAACATGTCATAGTTCTTTATACTCGTGCTATTTGTTCTTTATACTCGTGCTATTTGGCCTTTGAGTGTCAGTAACTGCTCTTTTGCCTTCTCTAATTTCCTGAAATATTGCGGCATTTACAGCAGAGATTGGAATGCCCATATCCAACTGAATTTTAGGCTTATCACATGCAGTTTAGTTGCCTTGTCTGTGTCATCATGCTGGGGCAACACCTGTGTGAGATGGCATCCATACAAATGAGACTCTGAAACTCTTGTTCTTTGCATTAATAATGTTTATAATGGATGTTACAACATTCCTAGTATCATTCCTAACAATCTAATAGGAGGTATAGGTGTTGTGTACCTCCAGAAGAGTCTGGATCTCGGAAGAATCAACTAACACAACACCTGTACCTCCTATTTGGTTGTTTTACAGATTACAATTTCTTTTTTTATTATGCACCCCATACCCATCCCGTGGGCGGTGGTGTAAAGGGTTACAGAGGCACATAATCGGTTCAGGAACTGAACCCTCTAGTTCGTTTAGCAAAGCAAATAATTTTTGACGCTAGTTACAAAATTATTAATGTTATATATACATGTACACATTCTCATACATACAAGTACATATATATATACGTATACATATATACATACACATACATATTTAATCACCCACACAAATATACACATCAGTAATCTTTTATGTCACAAGTGATCAACAAGAGGCTCACAACAGTCACTATACAAGGCACTTTACATCTATGGTGAGTCACACAGTTGGGCGGCAGCCTAGTCTTGCTCCACACCCACCCAACTGGGCGGCAGCTTTACAGTCATGTGCTCCACACCCACCCAACTGGGCGGCAGCTGGGCGGCAGCCTTACAGTCATGTGCTCCACACCCACCCAACTGGGCGGCAGCTTTACAGTCATGTGCTCCACACCCACCCAACTGGGCGGCAGCTTTACAGTCATGTGCTCCACACCCACCCAACTGGGCGGCAGTTTTACAGTCATGTGCTCCACACCCACCCAACTGGGCGGCAGCTTTACAGTCATGTGCATGCATTACCTACAGTAAGCAAATTTTGGATACTTCGCTAAGATTTCGGGCAGCACATCATTATGAATGAAGTACTTACACATTTCTTGGACACTATTGATGGTGTTATCTCTAAATTTCGCGATTTTTTCACATTCCATTATATAATGACGCAAAGTATGCGAATAGTTCTGCTGATACCTGGTTGATGGGGTTCTGGGAGTTCTTCTACTCCCCAAGCCCGGCCCGAGGCCAGACTTGACTTGTGAGAGTTTGGTCCACCAGGCTGTTGCTTGGAGCGGCTCGCAGGCCCACATACCCACCACAGCCCGGTTGGTCCGGCACTCCTTGAAGGAAACAATCTAGTTTCCTCTTGAAGATGTCCACGGTTGTTCCTGTAATATTTCTGATGCTCGCTGGTAGGACGTTGAACAACCGTGGACCTCTGATGTTCATACAGTGTTCTCTGATTGTGCCCATGGCACCTCTGCTCTTCACTGGTTCTATTCTGCATTTTCTTCCATGTCGTTCACTCCAGTACGTTGTTATTTTACTGTGCAGATTTGGGATCTGTCCCTCTAGTATTTTCCATGTGTATATTATTTGGTATCTCTCTCGTCTCCTTTCTAGTGAGTACATTTGGAGAGCTTTGAGACGATCCCAATAATTTAGGTGCTTTATCTCGTCTATGCGTGCTTAAGGCATTGTTCATAAGGCATTATGACAGAGTTTACATTTAGTCAAATCTACATCAGCAGATGTTACAAATTCCCAGAGGTACTTGTAGCCGAGCCTAAGCCTAGCAGTGGTAACATCTAGAAGTCTGCTAACCTTACTGGATGACCCATAGACGTGCGGTTCTTCCTGCATAATAGAATGATGATAGATGGAGTAACTGGTGTGAATTTCACTTTGCCTCAAGTCTCCGAAATTTAGTTGATGTTCCTGGGATATTGCTGCCCTCAGGCTGCTCAAAGGCAGTCCAAGTTGGTAATCAATTCCCTCTTTACGAGCAAAAGTCTTGGCTAGCTCAGCAGTTCTATTATGCATTCGGAGACCAATATGAGAAGGAATCCACAGGAGACAAACTCTGACTCCATCATTGATTATTTCACTATATCTGTGTCTAGTTTCAGAGATAAGCACGTCACAGTTATGCCCTAGGGAGCTGAGGGCAGTCAAGGATGACAAGGAGTCACTTACAATTAGCGTGTCAACTTTGGATTCATATACGCGCTCGAGTGCAAGGATTATGGCAACCAATTCTGTTTGAAGAGTGGAGGCCCAGTTACTAAGACGCGCTCCACACTCATGGGAGAAGGAACCATCTCTCCCTGTCACAACAACTGCACTTCCAGCTGCACCATGGGACTGATGCAAGGATCCATCAGTGTAAATAATCTGGGAAAGTGAGCGCTCTCTAACTAAAGCATCAATTTGGCTTAAGGCATTGTACTTTGCTTCTTGTCGAAGCAAAGCCTGTTCATTAATCAGCGTCTTGGGTGGGAAAGGGGGGACAGTAATTTGGAAAGGAGTGATCTCCCATGGGGCAAGAAAGTGTTGTTGTTGTCTCTCTTGGTAGGGGTGATGAAAGTTATACATTCTGAGCACATTGGCAGTTACGGTAATCCATTTGGAGGGATGCTGACCTTCAAGGAAGAAGGCTTGGAGGGCTTCAGTGCAGGGGTTAGGGTGCGTTAGCCTAAGCATCTTGATACAAATTAAAGCATTAATTTCAGTGATACGATCACTTACACATGAAATATTCAGTTCCTTCCTCATGTTTAGTAATTTAGTTGTACGGGGGTGCGTACAGGAACTTCTTTTCCACGGCTTGAACGGAGGAAAGAGTTCTGAAAAATATTAATAGGAACGATGTCCCCAAAGACACCAATCAGAAGATGCAATTAACAATTTACTACAAAAACAAGAAGACCGCCAAACTCCTTATGAAGAACTCCCCAAACACCAAACAGAACGCCTTAAAAGAGACCAACGTCGTCTATGGCTTCACATGCCCACTTGGGGACTGTCAGACCCATGTATATGTATATAGGCAAGACAACAACGTCTTTCTCTAGGCGATTAACAATGCACAAGCAACAGGGCTCCATCAAAGAGCATTGAATCTCCTCACACAACCAGACCATCACCAGACATATTCTAACAAGCAACATTGAAATACTCGACAGGTATAACGACAGCAGAAGACTGGACATCAGCGAGGCACTACACATCAAAAAGTCAAGACCAACAGTCAACAACCAGTTAACACATAATTACACAACCCGTTCTCGCAAATTTA